ACTCCACAATCAACTCCATACATACATCTGTGAACATCAAAGAACAAATTATATTAAGAACAAAGCAGAACTTTTAGGCATAGAGAGCAACTGAAGTTCTGAGTTATGAAAATTGTGACAATAAGAAAATATATGGTATCAAATTTAAACATAAATCCATTTTACTTGATTTCCTAACACACTTAGAGTATGTTAAATATTTGTATTTAAGCAGGAGCTTTCTCATCCATTGACCATCTTTTTTTATTAGTAGCTTCTGCTGTGAAGTAATTTGCATGATCTAAGTCATTTCTGTTGAAAATTTGATATATGTTTATATGTCTCTGCTGTTTCGTAATTTGCATGATCTAAGTCATTTCTGTTGAAAATTTGATATGTTTATATGTCTCTGTTGTTTTTCCTGCTGTGTCTTGGATTGAAAGTTCATATTCAAACGCAAAAATCATCAGTAGTGGAAGTACAGAATATTGTTGGAAAAAAAAGAAGTAAAACCTTTGTCCTAGAGGAAGAAAAGGGTACAGGACGTATCCTGACACACTTCCAAAAATAATTGTCATGTCTATAATCAAGCACATGTAGGCTATCATTTTAAGCCTCTGGTGGTTGGCATTACAACATACTAGGGGAATTACAACAGCACTTTCTTCCTGTTCCTTATAGCTTAAATATGTGTGGGTCGTGCAAGCAAACAGCAATATATATAAACTCATCTCTTCTTTCTCATTGTCATCTTCTTTCAGTGTTTGGCCAGTGGTGTTAACCCCAAATGTCATATAGCTGGCACTCACAAAACACAGATACCAAGCTGTAATCCAGAGACATTTGGCTGTTTGACAGGCTTCCCCAGTAGAGTTTCTAATGGGTTAGGAGTTGCCTTTATGTATGCCACAGGGTTAGATAATGTCCGAGTTTTGTCCACCGTAGCTTTAGCTTTTCATCCTCTGACTATGATTACATCCAAATCTTTACATAATTGAATGTGCTATACAAGTCACATATGAAATCTAGATTCAGAACCCAAAGATTTACTAAGTTATTTGTCAATGAACATATTTTGTGTATGTAGATTTCTGTTTCACTGTTAGCTATGCACATGGACAGGATTCTTTGCCAAAGGCAGACCTGAATGTGTCTAAACCATACTTAACACATATTTTAGAAACACTACTGAATAATCAGCTCCTTTGTGGAAAGAGGTTTTAGCTTAGTCACAAGCACATCTTAATAGCTAAAATTATAGCATATTGATGCTCTATCATTGTAAAATTCTTAAAAGGACATTATTTTCATGTAGCTCAAAGATTTTCAGTTCAATTTTTAGTTAACAAGTTTTATGTTGTTTTAACCAAGCTGTGGGTAAGTGGTGATATATGTCATGTAATTTCAAAAATTACGGCTTCAATAAAGTGGCATAACTAAAGAGTTGTGTTGTATGTATGTTTGTGTGATATTTCAGTGACAACCACTATTACTGTGCAAAAGGCCACTCCCTCCTAAAGGGATGCTGGTGATAATGAACACTGTATACACAGGTATAAATAGCCTTCATTATTATGAACTTTTCGTCTAAATATTTAATAGAAATTATGAGCAAAATATGTCTGAAATCACTTCATATACGTTTTTCAAAATACAATATCTGTAAGTAGCAAACTGTAGACAGTTATTTCCTTCTATGGATTAGTGTGGACGAGTTGCAGGGTGCAATTACCCCCTGCCGGCCAGGCCAGAGGGTTCAGTGAACCCCTTCATCCATTGGTCTGGCCCCTGGGTGGGATTCCCAGTTCTGGAGCCAGTAGGTTGGGTGCGATCACCCTCTCTCTTCCGAGCAGAGGGGATACAGCGGACCCGCCGTCTATACCCTGGCTCGGTGTCTTGGCCCTAGGCCCGGGGTTTGGCCCCTCCGTGGGGCTAGCTCCGCCGGCTTTTGCCTGGTCGACCCGCCGGTGCAGTTGCGTGTTTGCGTAGTCTCCTGGACTGCGGGGATTGTGAGGAAGAGGGCTGGGGGAGGGTGACCCGGGCCCACTCTCTCCACCGGGTCCCAGCCCGGGGCCCTAAGTACAGGAGCCCACCATTCCCCCTGCACGACAGATGGGGGTTTACTCCGAAACGCATCTGTCCATGGGTGCCACAAGGGCCCTACCCTGGGCTGCTTCCTCCCCTCCCACATGCCTACTGGGGTTCTGGTGTGGGGTGCTCCTTCATTGCCCCTCCTGGGGATCCACTCCCCCATGCCTTGTCCCGGCCGTGTCTCACCCTCCTCAGGTGGCGAGGGTTCTCCTGCTCAGGTCCGGGCTCTGGGCTGGCCATCTGCCACCTGCGGGGGCTGTCCCGGGACGCCTGGTGATGGGGCCGGGTCGTCTGCCGGTCTTGGTGGTGGCTCCGGTCCATCCTTTGCCCAGTCCTCCTCTGCCTGCTGCGGAGGAGGTTGCCCACTCCCTCTATGCTGGCGGACCCTTTTGAAATGGCTTGCCGGTTCTGACACGTTTTCACTATTGAAAAATTCATGCTTTCCCCTATCTCACAGTCTTACCTGTCTCCTTATCCTTCCTGACAAAATGTTCAAAAAACACTCAGAGAAAACAGTCTGAGTAGTAGTTGGGACACCTCTTTTCTCGTCGTAGAGTCTACCCAGTTTGCCCTCTTGGCCACAGGTAAAATGATAGAATCATAGAACATTAGAACTGGAAGGGACCTCGAGAGGTCATCAAGTCCAGTCCCCTTCCCTCATAGCACATCCAGCACCGTCTAGACCATCTCTGACAGAAGTCTATCTAGCCTCTTAAATTTTATCTTCAGAGATGGAGATTCCACAACCTCCCTAGGCAGCTTTTTCTAGTCTGTAACCATCCTGACAGTTAGGAAGTTTTTCGAATGTCCGACCTAAACCTCCCTTGCTGCAGTTTAAGCCCATTGCTTCTTGTCCTATCTTCAGAGGCCAAGGAGAACAATTTTTCTCCCTCTTCCTTATGAGACCCTTTTAGATACCTGAAAACCGCTATCATGTCTCATCTCAGTCTTCTCCTTTCCAAACTAAACAAGCCCAATTCTTTCAGTCTTCCATCATAGGTCATGTTCTCGAGACCTTTAATCATTCTGGGTATGTCTACACTACCCTCCTAGTTCGAACTAGGAGGGTAGTGTAGACATACCATAAGGTGCTACAGGACTCCTTGTCGCTTAAACTGATTAGGCACTTTTGTAAATCCGACTTCATGCCTATTTGCATCTTTAGGCTCCTAAATAAATACCTTGGTAAATCTGCCCCTCTATTCTTATTTAAGAATTCATAAACACCTCTGCTCCTCCTAATATGTACTTTTTACCAAGAGTATCATGATGTCCATTAAGATGGCATAACTACACCCATTTCATTTGTGGAACCACCATCCTAAAACACAGAGCAATATTAATTAGTGAAAAATTCTGATATGCAATAATTAATCATTTAAAAATAATTATATAAATTTTCTTAATTTTCAAATGTATTTTTTCTTTTAAATTCTTTGAATGGTAGACATACTAAGGAAAGGGAGCTATGAACATGTAGAATAAGGAAGTTTATTATTGAGGTTCTCATGTTAAGTGTCTTCAATTATATATATCATACAGTTGTATTATATTTTGCATATAGATCACTGAAATCCATCTGATGCAACTAAAGAAATGACATAGCAGTAACGGTCCTTAACTTTTGTTATTAGTTCAGTAAAGAATTGAGGATAAAATTCACCAGTTCAACTTATTTGAGACACTATCAATATGAACTTGCACTATATGAGTAGATGTTTCCAGACCATTTCTGAAACATGTTCCTGACCTTTCTGTTTTTCCTGAAATACAATACAGTGATGTAGGGAAGCTGAAGCTGCTCTGAATATTTAAAGAAGACAGCAGAACTCAAACTACCAGCCACTTTGATGAATCTGTCTTGTGTTATCATGTATAGGTGTTCAGATCTGCTCCATCAGCTCAGAATTCAAGAAATGAATCCATTAAAATCAATAGAAAAATTTTCCAGGATTTCACCCTCAGGTTGCATCTACACAGTGGTGCTAGCTTGAAATAAGCTACACAATTTGAGCTGTGCAACTTGTGTTGCTTATTTCCAGTTTATTTCAAAATTTCGAAATAGAGCACTGTTCCAACAAATCCCTTAATCCTCATGGGACGAGGTTTACCGAGACATCAGAATAGCAGGCCCATTATTTTGATTGCTTTTAAAAACAATGAGTGTTCTGTTAAGACATGAAAAATGCTATTTCAGGATACCAAACTTATCCCAAAATAGTGCCGTTGTCTAGTTGTATCCCCCATGTTTTGCAAAGAGATGTTACCAAGAATAGGTATATTTTTCCTCCCTTCTTCCCTAACACCATTGGGACTATTATGGTTGTGAGGTGGAAGATCTTTTATTCTCTTTTTCATGCTTTTATTCCTGCCTTCTCTTTTTCCTCTTATTCCATTACCTACATTCTTCATTGCTGTTTTCCTTGCAGTTGTGAGAAAGACAAGACAAAGAAATAAGTCTTCTACGTCACTTAGAAGGCAGTGAAATTGGTCATCCTCAATGGAGATTTCATAACCTAGGAACAATGGCTGAGAAAGCCATGCTCTATGCCTTTATGGGATTCCCTATCAAGAGTGACCATTTCATTCTTCCTGGGGAGCTTTGCTGTTCTGGCCTGTGCCTGCACCATTGCAGTCAATGGGAGGTCTGCCATTGAATTCAATTTGATCAGTCCCTAAAATAGCTTGAGGAATAAGATTGGACCTTTCTTTGTTTATACATTTTTCAGCTTTGAAAATATGAGGTGAGAATATTAATTCTGTACTCATTTCTCATTTGATAGTGTCATTTGCCAGATTCTGTTGATCATGTCTGTCCTTATTGATCTAAGATCAAGATGATGACATGCTATTGAAGAAACTTGTTTTTGTTCTTTTAATTCCATATTAGAAAAATCATAGCTCTTAGAAATGTCACTTTATTCTTGCAGCTCTTTCAAACATTTGATCGGAGGTCTGGATGATGTTTCCAATAAGGCCTATGAAGATGCTGAAGCAAAAGCAAAGTAAGTGACAACTAATGATTTTGGCTTTAAGCAATTAATCTCTGTGTCTAATTGATATCATATCAAGGAAAAAACATTCACTTTTTATCACATGCTGCTAAAACATAGGAAGCAAAATGTCTGATAGAAAATAAAAGAAATATAATATGCTTTTTTTTCTTAATCTAAAGAGTTTGATTTTAAAAGTGGCTTTTAAATAGTTGTCATGAAATATTTTAAGGTAAAAACTACTATATGCACATTTTAAACTGATAAAAAAATCAAGTTCACAAAGACATTACTGTCATGGATATTATTAACATATTTTGGGTTATTTTCAATCAGCCTGGAGTTTTTCAAACAAACCTTAGCAAATAAAGAATGTTTTGTAAAAGAAGGTTGAAGTGGAGAAAGTAGAGTAGTTTTTGAATGATACAGTTACTGTGCTATGGAATAATATTTCCAATCAAAACACTGGCTAAAAGTATTCTTTTTCGAAGTTAAGACTAGTGTGTTGTCACTTTATACTGCTTTAATAATAAAAGTGCTAACAAACAGAAACAAGCACTGCAACATTTCCCATGTGATCAACGTATTGTACTTAATAGACTTTCATGTGCCTAGAGGCCACATAGGTGAAATACGTGAAGAGATTTAAGTGTTGCAATGCTGAGCACCTTGGGTGCCTAGAAAATTAATAGGAACAAGTCTCATCCATAAAGACCTGTTTGTTAGGTAGCCAGGCTCCCTATTAAATGAATTTGAGCTACAGAAGCGAGTATGCTAGATGGCTTCCTGCCTGCACAAGCCAGTGGGAGATGCCAGGGAAGTAAAGGGTAGCCCTTTCTCAGAGAGAGGCTTATGACTCCAGGCTGCATGGAGGCACCTAGCTCTGCTACAGATCCATGGCCAGATTTGAACAGGGAAATCCAGCCTCTCAGGAGAACTCTTTAACCAGTGAATGTTCTGAGCTGGGCTCCTGCACTCTGGTTAAATCATTAAAGTATCACTGAGTGGGAGGGAGTGTGAAAATTACTCTAAAGTCCAGTGATTTGGGCAGCCACCTAGATGCCAGGAGAACCTGAGTTTCACACATCCAAATGAACACTCTAACCACTAGTGCTCACTAGTCTAAAAGTTAGAAGGTTGGGGGCAGCACCACCATCACCTCCCACTCCTCTTCCGGACATCTCTTGAATGGGGCCAAATCCAGCAGGTGTGCCCATTGGGCATTAACCAGATCCATCCCCTGGGGCAACTTGAGTGCATGCAGGACTGCCTTCCCTGGTTCACAAATCATTCTGGAGCTCATCAGGATATAGGTGTCCAGATGCCTAAAATGAAGCAGCAGTGCATATGCCCAGGGGAAAAAACATAGTCACTGAATGCATTAAGCACTTGCAGGGTTCAGTAGTCATGTGGCTTACAAATATGGGACCTAAGCACCTAGTTATCTTTCTGGATTTCACCATAAACCTTTAGCTGGGAAGCTTGGAATATCCCTTGTAATACTTCAGAATAAATGGATAAAATCAAGATCTGCTCCGATAAAAGTTAATATTGATTTTAAACACAAGAAGCTCTAAGTCAAGAATCTTTTAAAGAAAAACTGAAGCCATTGGAGAATCTGATGTTTTGTCTTTTGCAGATCTCTTTACCATTGCCACATTAGAGAAAGGAAATGATTAGACATTAGGGTTCTTTACAGAATCAAAACAATTGAAATGTATGACTAGTGTAGCCTTTCAGTTCTGTAGTCCTTAATAAAAGGTTACAATTAAAATGCACATATTGTTTTCACATTAGCCCTTAAGGGCTTACAGGAGTCTGTATGAAGAATATACTTTTTTATTGTGAAGAGAAATGGAATGGAACTAAGTACATATTCATTTTTTAAGATTTAAAATTCAGAATTCTTCTGTCATATAAGTCTGTGTCCCATTTTCAGTGTCTCGCATTAATTTTGATAATACCAAAGTGTACCAATAGACTACAGAGACATTTTCTGTTTATCAGTCAGAACACTTTTTTAACCTATTGCATCCCTCTAACAAGTTACTTTTCTCCTCATTGTGTAAAAATATGGCCCCTTAACAAACCATAATAGGATTTCATCTTGGATTCTATAAATAAATAAAACAGTCATTGTCATCAATGGGAATTTAGGGTGCAGAAGAAAATGCTGAATCAGACTGGAAGTGATATTCTTTCAGCACATAACTTGGCAGACCTCCAAATTTTAATTTAATTGTCAGTAGCATCTTATGCAAAGACCCAATTTTAGGAATTTACATGTAGTCCAGTAGACTAACCACAGGCAACTAAACATTGCTTTGGGAGGAGTGAGTTACAAATATGCCACATCAGTGCAATTATTTAAATTTCTAGGGGGGATAAGTTGGGGAAAACTTGGTAGGAGGAATGGGGATTTGCTGAGTAACATAACCCCATTACTACAGACTGTGTAAGTCCTTTGCTTTCTAATTTATTAACAGCTAATATAAGCTGAAAAAATAACAAACCCTTTTCACTATATGTAGAAAATCTTCTCATGTTTGTCATTTTAAGCAATGTTATTGGTATGTAGTATGTGTTCCTCAATTACCAAGGTGAGGTGGCATAGATGGGTGGGTATTATCTAAAAATCTAAACAGATTAAATTGCATTCATACATACATCACCATAAATGCCATGCAAGAAAGTATTTTCAATGTCTATTTGCCCACTCTTAAGGCCTTATCACTTAGCTCATTTAGCCCTTATCCTACTAAATCTCCCATTGATATTTTTGCTTGACAAAGCACTGCAGATTTGCACCTTTTGTGAAGCAATCCATTTTTTAAGAAGCTAAAATATCACTAGACAATGTTAAATTCTGCTACACTTTTATCTTGTTCTTTTCCATGTTTGTTTTCTAGTGCCCAATATTTCACACAATGAAAAAGATGAAGCAGATGATTCCAAATATTAAAGGGATCTTAATTAAGTGGACAGTTTCCCAGTAGGAAGAGCTGACAAGCTGTTATGGCACATTCTAGGTCTTTCCCCACAGCTTTGCAAGTCAGGGGTTAGCTCTTGCATACAATCCCAAGGTGCCAGAGTCAGCAATCATGCCATTACCCCCGACATAGTGACATTTTGCCATTAAAAAAGCAGAAGTCATCAGTGCTGTCTGCCTTTGCAAAGGTTATAAAGGAAATTTCATTTCAAAAGATACGGCCTTTATTAGTTAAATACCACATTTGGATTTGCTTGACTTCTTGAAAGCAACTGCTTGGAAAAGGTATGAATAGAACAGTAGAAGTGACTGAAAAGCTACGAGTAAAAGGAGAGATATTGGAACGTGCTTTGTCACTCAATGGTTGTTGTAGCCATTTCTGACAAGATAAAATGCCTCTTGGAGAATATCTACTTGCCACAAACTTTAACCCAGATTACTTTTCAAACAGCACTTAATTAACTTCAGCTAATTGCCCTTCAAGGGTTTATCTTTTCAGAATTTAAGATTCTGAAGTACAAAAAGAATCTGGCATAGAAAACATGAAACACAACTGTGCTTTATCAAAGTGCTGTGTTTTCCAATAACTGAAAATCCCATAATAGTTTTTGTTGCTTATTAGTTCAAGCATCACATTTTCCACTGTTTGTGGTATATAATACACAGTTTTTGAGTGAATAAGTTTTATTACATAGCCTTACATTATCAGCTATTAGGTCTATCAAAGAAAATTCTCTAAAAAGATCAGAAATTCAGCAAGCATTATTGTAAACTATAAATAATAAGGACCTTATTCTGAGAGGTGTTGACTACCCTCACCTTCAGTTTAACTGAAAATGATAGCATACTGATGTCTGCCATCACTTGCGATAAAATTATGATGGATTTTAGCAGCTGAGAAAGCCAACAGTTTTTAATATTTTACTACAATGTTTAATTATTTCAGTGTCTACTATGCCCTCATGTAATTAACAAATATCCATTGAGCCTATAGAAAATGGAAAACTATAAATATTGTTTCTAATGTAATAGAGATGGATTGGTCACATGGCAACACATTTTATTTAACATAAGCACTTTCCAACCTGCAAACCCTCTGAGTATCTCCTTGGTGTGTCCAGCCTCTGGTTCACCGGACCATTCACAGTATTCTGATTTACTACTACCAAAAAAAAATACAATTTACCAGTTCTACCTTTGATCATTGTTCCATTTAACAGTGGTGCTGTAGTAAGGCAGAGGCATCTTTTTACTCCACAGAATCCAGCCCATCTGAGCTATAGGGCTTTCGTTTTGTAATTCCTGTCCTGCCCTTGGCACTTCCAGTGAGGGAGAGAGGCGAAGAGAGTTTGGCTCTGCACACAAAGGGGAATGTAGAGCTTCCTCGCTCTCCAGGCCAGAAGGAGGCCATTTTGCCTCACTACAATTCTATTTTACTATTCAAAATTAAATTATCTCTGTGGTGTTATATATTTTCTTTTTCCCTTAGGCTTTAATAGTAACATTTACTCTGGCATTGCTACTTAAAATATAGTTCTATGACTTGCACAAAAAATATTTTACTATGCCTGAGCTGCATTCTTTTCATTGGCTGTCTATAAAAGGCTATTATTAATTTAGCACTGCGGGTTTTGAAGGCCCCACTTCAGCAAAGCACGTAATTAATCCGTTGTGAGCTTCAGGTTAAGACAGTCCTTAGCTGAATTTTAAACTTATTCCTGATAATGACAGGTGTCTTGTGTTTGTGGGCCATTTGTTTTTTAAGGATTCCCCGCCTCCACACAAATTGTCTGAAATCACTCATGTGAGTTTTCTAATACGAAACTCGCTGTGTCCCGAAATACTTTGCTTTTCTCTTGTTTATAAAAAATAGAAGTTGTCTTTTCTTTTTTCATTGATGTTGCTTTTAGAACCACTGCTGTATTTATTTGTCTATATTTGTTACCTTCCTTTGTAATCTTTTCTCTCCTTTAGTTTTCACTAGACCTCCCCTGTCCCCCATTTATTTGTTTGTTTGAAGGAT